GTCTTCTACTAGAAGACACATGATTAAAAGGTCTTATGGCCCAGACGATCATGAAAATTAAGTAACTTAAAAACATAATATTCACTGTGAATTTCAATGGACTTCAAATGAAGGTCATAGCTTCGTAAAAAACTTAATTTATCCCCCCCTTAAAAAAAATGCTAAACTCACTTGAATTATTTAGTTCACGCACTTTGTTTTACCGTTTATTTTTTAAGGAGATAACTCGTCTTACACCGTATTAAGGAAAAAAAATTGAGATGAAATCGCAATGATTACAAAAAGATAGTTATTGCCTCAAGTTACACTTAAATTTTAATAAGTGATTTGGTACGGTATTGCTGCTCTTTGTACGTTATGCAACACTTATGTATGTGGACTGTATCAATAGGTACTTGTCTGAGATGCAATTGCACAACCTTCCACCCGGAATCTTCGACAGGAACACAAGATTGAGATTCTTGTGAGTAACATTTATTTGTCGTTACGATTTTTTAAACTCAGGATTACCGACCAGTGAGTCGTATACTTTGTTTAAGAACCTAAGATATGTAAAGTTCAAAGGTGAAAAAAAAATCCTGCTCATTTGATCTCATACTCTGCTCTAAAAGAACAAATCACACACAACGGAGTGTCGCGGCCAACCCTCACACTTGCTGATAAAACTCAAATTTCATACCTGTTATCACCTGCGTACCAATTTCGCATGTCCAGAGGAACAAGGAATTTAACAGATTTAATGATACCTAAAATATTTTCAAATCTTTCTTGAAGTGCGGCTAAGATGTGCCTCTTTTGCGGCAGAATAGCTCTAAAACCCCTTAAGTGTCTTTGTTTTAAATTGATACTAGTCAAGGTGTTACAGAGAAACCTTGACAAGTTCATCAGATTCCATGTTCCGAGTCACCATCCTAGAATTTATTTATTGTTCAAAGCTGGGTTAAGATACCCCAGGGTAGTGTGAAATATGATTTCAGATCTGAAAGCTTTGAAAGAAAATTCAGTTTAAATCTTTTTGATGATCAATTTGATGATTGGATGTTCTGAAAAAAAACTGGAAATTTTTTCTCAAAAATGCTTTTGAACTGATAAATAAAGAAACGTAGATTGAAAGTTAACCCTGGGTTAGTATTAATTGGCCTTCGAACAACTGGGCCCAGGCGTGTCTTAACTCTATTAATCAGTTCATATGATAAATAACGCAGACGCCTGAATGACAACGACATGAAAGAATTAAATGGAAGCACCTTCAAAAAAATGGCAATTTTAGAGGAACTGTAAGTGAATATGAAAATAATGTTTTTGAAGGCATTGCTACTCGTAGAAACAAAGTTGCGCAATTTATAATTTCCCACTGCAGGATCTCAATGTATTAAATTCTTTTTTGTGACTCATACTGTGCAATGATACAGAATCAGATAATAGGAAAGCACTGATAACTTTTCGAAATCAGTCAGATTTTAAAAGTTAGGAAAGGTTTAAATTCTCACTGCACTCAAGCGAGACCTCTTTTGTCAAAGAATTTCTCTGGAAAAGTTTTATCAATATATCTTCTGATGCAAATCATTGCTCCAAGTTGATAAAAATTGAAGAATTGAGGTAAAGTGAAGATTAATTCTTAACACTGCATCAGCTTGAGAAACCATTATCAGTTTGTTGATGTTGTCCTTCTAAAATTTTGTTACATCATATAATCCGTCCCACTCCTACGTGCGCCATGCTCTCGAGCGTATTATTTTCCAGTTCAGCCCTCCCACTCGTTGAATAACTACGTAGAACTTTATCGTATGGCATTGCTTCGAATGACATTGCATTTTGTTGTGATGTATGATCAGACACATGTAATTATTTGTTTTATTGTGTTTCGCACGATACAGTTATTAGAAATAACTGTGTTTTGGTTTTTATTCTGCCATTCTTTTATTTTTTTTACATTTTATTTCTTTTTTTCTCTTATCGCTCATACACTAATATATAACCAATAGACTAGTAATTTGTAAACTTCTCAATAAAACTAAGTAGATTTCTCTTCTTCAACGCAGATGGTTGCAAGACAACAACTTCACTGAATTGCCTCCCGAATTATTCCAAGATCTAAAAAGACTGAAGGAACTGTAAGTTACATGCAGACGCTTTTTAGCTATTTAGCTCTGTAACAGCGGTTAAGGGATGATTATTAGCATTTAATGTCACCTCCCTTCCAAAAGAAGCCTGCTCGTGTGATTATATTGATAATAATAATCTAGTAACCCTATTATTGCGTCAATAATTATACGAGATTAGAGGAGATATTTCCATTTTCAAATTTTTCTGATATTGCCTTCAGCACTAAAAACGGAAAGAAACCAATTGAACCATCTCAAACTGTATCGTCATTGTTGTTCTGATAAGCAGAATAGAAGATTTTCAGTCATACAGCAACGAAATCGATGCGTGCCATAGATCGTGTCTAGTCATTAAATAGTTTTCTGTTGTGAACTAGTTAGGTGTCTGCACAAAACACGGGCTCGATGATTTCTTTACTGAGTAATTCACTGGAATAGGAGAGATAATCAGCTTCTACCAGCCTCAGATAGCAGTGCTTAGGGTGCGATCAAATTTCAACTTGTCAAGTGGCTATTCCTTTTCTGTAAAATTAGCGAGCCAGCCATGGCGATTGCACTGCATTAACTGTTCCTTTCTCTTTATTATATTACGCACATTGCTTGTACACTATTACTTTCATTTCCTTCATTATTCTTAATGACCATTGTCTGTATGTCTTTTTTTTAACGAATTTCAAATAACATTGTGAATTAAGACGCACTTTCTTGTCTTGTCATTCCTATTAGCTATCTGTCAAACAACAAATTGAAGACTCTACCAGATGGAATTTTTAACAGCCTTTCCAGTCTGGAATATCTGTGAGTACATTAATCATTCAACAAAAGAAAAAATGCGAAAAGAGGTCAATGAATTTTTCCAAGAGCACATTTCTCAAAGCTGCGTGGCCATGTTCAGTTAACAGAAACATGTAAGGTAAAAATGAAAGGTCTGACGAGTGTATAAATCGAAATTTGCGAGCACTCATGTTTTGTTACTAAAACAGCACAGTTCTCGTGCTAAAAATAAATAAGTTGCCAGATGAAAGTACGCTAAAACAGGTCATTTATTATGAGGAGAGCAAAAGAAAAGAACACCCACTACCCCTGGATCATTCTCCTCCATAAGGATTAGTAAAAAACTCTATGGATCACTTTTTGTCTCGCTGTCATGAAGATTTCATGGTCAATTTTTGTAAAGCTGTTTAAACGAATTTTAGAATGCTACATCACGTTGATGTGCTTAGGTGAGAAAAATTGAGGTACTTGAAGATTTTATTCTATGAATCAATATTGGTAATTTTATGATTATAGATTTGTAGCTATGGTTGTTATTATATTTTAGGGATTTGTCAAGTAATGAAATTGGATATCTACCGCCATACATCTTTAAAAATATTACAGCTGTAAAATTTCTGTAAGTGATATTCTCCTTGAGTTAAGATAAATCAAAAATTATCTTCGAGAGTTACCTTGCGATTACAACAAGAAGTGAAGAAATCGGCTTCCTAGTTTATGACAATTTACATTTCTTATATATTTTAAGCAGCTAAAAATTTTTTGTCTTGGAATTATTTTTTGTGACAGAAGCTAAGAATTTGTTGACTTAGATCCTAAAGCAACCCAAATAATATAATTTTGTAAAAATGGGCAATAGACTACTTACGATTTTTCAAATTCAGCTTTAAACACCACAGGGCCCAGTTGTTCAAAGGTCGATTAGCCCTAACCCAGGGTTGAATTTTAATTCAGGTTTCTTTATTTCTTTGTCCAAGAGTCTTTTAAGGAAAATTTTCATTATTCTTTTTAGAACATCCAATGATCAAATTGGAAGCAAAAAGATTTGAACTGAATTTTCTCTTAAAGCTTTCAGACCTGAAATCAAATCTCACACTAACCCTGAGTTACCTTAACCCAGCTTTGAACAACCCGGGCCAGACCTCGAGCAGAGGTTTCTGGTAATAAACTCTAAAGTTTCTCTGACCTGAGAGCATTAAAGTTACATGTAGGTCTAATGTTTTCTTTTTTTCTATGATATTCAAATATCAAACCTGGGAGTTAATTGTACTGCAGTAAATGAAGAAGATAATTAAGACAAAAGTAGATTTAAAGATATCCCTTCATGTGTGTATTTCAGTCTAACATCTACAACGCGCTTTTTCAGGAAAATGGACTACAACAAAATTGAGAGGCTTCATGAAGATCAATTCCAGGGCTTAGTGAAGTTGTTCGAGTTGTAAGTACACTTAGATTTTAAACGTTAATTTTTCATTATGATCTGTTGCAATCTAAAGCATATTTTAGAACCAGCCCATTCATATGAATTTTAAAAAAACTCATTCAGTGAATAAAAGTTGACATGAAAAATGTCTACAAATTAACCATATTTATATGGAGAGAGGTGATACCCAAAAAAGTGCATGATAATCATATATTAGCAAGGTTTTTCTTTTTAACGTTTAAGCGATAAACGGCTCAAGTGCACTGAGATTTTTGTTCATATTCGTCCTTCAGATTATAGAGCCGCAATGATAAAGTTAACTTGAAAGGAAAAGAGCTTTTTTGAACAAAGAAAAAAATGGCTTCAATTTAGCTGAGTCTATAAATATTGAGTTTAAGTGCAAAGGTTTGGATTAAAACGGTCATGAAATTAATTTTCTGAGGGAATTAACTTGCACAGATATTAGTTGGAATAGAAAATCAGGAGCCATAATAGGGAACACCTTAGTAAATATAGTTAGTATCCTCTATTAGTAATAGCCTCTATAATAAATGGATCACAATCTTTGTCACCAGATCGATATAATTGTGGTATAATTTTGATATCAGTTTTGCTGTTTAAATTAGATGTGCCATGCCTAGTTATGCTATGTTACTTGTATATTAATTTAAATTCCCCCTCACCTGTTTAAGACACCTCTCGGAGAACAGAATCGAGGCTTTGCCTGACAAGATTTTCGAGGGCGTTAAGGACCTCAAGGGCCTGTGAGTACAGCTGAAAACATACGAAACAATTTCTTAAATTGTTTTAAAAGATGAAAATGTACATAACAGAAAGATGCACAATATGGAATTCTTTTTTGAAAATGTTAACATGATCTCCAACAGGCGTGGTGTAAATTGTAATGCTCAACAGCGAAATTTTATTACTATCTACTTTCTTGACGAAAAAAAGGTGGCTTGCTATAAACATGGTTTTATTGAGCAAAGGTGGATATTATCAAAAAAGCAAACAAACATAGTGGAGAACTATGATAGTTCCGACGGCAACTTCAGGTGTAATTTTTAAGAATCAGACAATGCAAGACCCTGATTACCATCTGCTAGTTAATAATTATGTTATTACTTTTTACAGAAGTATCTTTGGCAATAAAATACAAAATGTCACCAGCACGACTTTCAGTCATGCCCGGGAACTGCGATTTTTGTAAGTTCACTGCAAATGGCAGTTCTTTATCACGGTACCTACAATAAAGCCGCATGTATTGCAATCGGATAAGATGCAGGTGTGAAGTTAATTTAGAGTATTATAGTTAATTGGGTATAATTTTTAATTTGTTAAAGTCAAAGGAAAGGCTTGGGAAAATGAGATATACAATTTATTATAATCTAACTTTATTTTCACCTTCTATTTAAATTTGCAGGTTCATGCACTACAACCTGATGGCTGAGCTCCCCATAGGCTTTTTTGGGCTTCTGCCGCACATTATCAGAGTGTAATACTCCATTATAATAATTCAACACGACGGCTTAATAGGAGATTTGGGGCGGATGTTGTCTGAATTACCCTTTAAATAGAAATTATTTTCAAATTGTAATGTGGGTGATGCAACCATTTTAATAATTTTGTTTCCTTCAGTCTGTTATGGTTCAGTTGATCAAGAAATTTTCATTAATGCCAACATCTTCTATCTATTCCGATACTGAAATGATATGAAGCCACATTTAGATATTAAATACCATTGCCTAAGGTATGCTTCGCGAGGCTCTCTAATTGCTATTAATTTATGAAAAAATGCTTATCAATTATCTTTGCCTCAGCATAGATCACTATTTTCTTGCCGATTGTTTTCGATAATCTTTATTATTTTGCTCTCATTGTTCTAACGATGTACCCTTTCTAATTTCCCTTTCTTTTTCTAATTCCAGAACTCTGGACACCAACCTGATGTGCTGCCACCTTGATCTTTTCAGGCAGGATGCCGATTGCGAATTTGCCTTCAATGATAACTTCGCAAGCTGTCACTCCATGTTCCGCAACCTTGCTCCAAGGAGAAGTCTTTGGGTTGTCGGCCTTCTCTCGTTGCTTGGGTCTGTGTTTGTAGTTGGGTGGCAATATTTCTTCCCTGATAACAATATGGTCCAGTCTATTATGTTGGTAAATCTTGGTATTTCAGACGGCATCATGGGTATTTACCTCATCATTATAGGTATAAAAGACCTGCAATGGTCAGGGGAATACTACCTGCACGACTATGAGTGGCGCACCGGCTGGTTTTGCCATTTCAATGGCGCCATGTCTGTCCTTTCAAGCGAGGTGTCTGTTATGATGATTTCTCTGATTGCATGGGACAGGCTCAAGAACATTGTGTTTCCTTACACGTTTGCAAAAATTACACCAAGGCAGACCCGTATTATGTGCGCAGTTATCTGGCTGGTGGGAGGCATTATGGCATTCCTTCCCTTGTCTGGAATGCGATACTTTGGTGACTGGTATTATGGCAAGAACGTGGTGTGCCTGCCACTGCAACTTTCCCCGCAGTTACAAGAAGGCTGGGAATTCTCCACTTCCATCTTTATCATTTTCAATTTTTCTCTTTTCATCTTCATTATGATTGCTTATCTTGCCATCTTGTTGAAATCATGGTCGTCGAGCAGACGGCTGGGTGCGCATGGAACTGTTCGTGAAATACGAGCAAGAGCACAAAGCGCACAGGCTAAAAGGGAAAGAGCACTTGCCAAAAGAGTCTTCTTCATTATTCTGACCGATTTCCTGTGTTGGATACCAATCATTGCTATCGGCATCAAGTCGCACGTCGAGAAAACGTTTGATCCACCTGGTGATCTGGCAGTGTGGATTGCAGTGTTCGCCTTGCCGATCAATTCAGCTATCAACCCACTGCTGTACACGCTTTCTACTCCACAGGTAACAGTTTTCTCTTGCTTTGAAATACGATATACTGTCATTTTCAGTCTTAACAGACACCCCTGCGAAATGATTTTTGAAACAAACACAGATCGATTATCCCCACTGTTTTCCAGAAATTTTGATACTTTCACTCAAAGGCAACCTCTCTCTTTTTCAAATTTATTCTTATTACGACTGACAAATTATATTTTGAGACCCTCAAGTTACAGTCGATAAAAGTTTGTTTTTGTATATTTTTCGCGAAGTACCCCAGAAGTGGAGAAGCACAGTTTTTCTGTTTACTTCTTCACTGTTGGTTATAACCATGGAGACAAACCTAAATTTAAATGCAATTTAGTAAATATCTCTTTCATTAACTGCCGCATAAATTGATAATGTATAGGTGCAAGCTGTGTTGAAACCAAAACTGAGGAAACTGTGGTTCAATGTTCGATCTATTTTCCGAAGTGGACAAAATCAAGAAGGTACGGTGCATTTATACATACCATAATAAGGCCTTGGAGGAGATGAGGGTGAAAGTGGTATGAAATGGTAAAAACAAACATTGCTTCCAATAAAAAAAAAAACAGAAAACGAAAACAAACAGACAAAAAGAAAATTTTTTAAATCTCAAAGGCATAATAAACAAAATGTTATAACAGGTTTTCGTAAAGAACAGAAGGTATTGTAGAAGAGGCCGGCAAGAAAAGAAATTAATGCAAGAGAGTGACTAAAACTGTGGGAAGAAATGGGGACTAAGCACTAAATTTATAATGTCAATAGGAGAAACGACCCGATTAGAAATCATAATTTAATGTTCATGAGCTATTCCGAGTTATAGCGGTTCAGAGATAAAGTGCCGCAACTTCGGCGCGGGAATGAACTGTCATCGGTATAAAGAGGAAAAACCGAGGTAGTAAAAATCAGCGAAAATTTTTCGAACTTCAAAGTGGGACAGTCAATTTTATTTTATTTCATTTTTATTTTTTTTTTGTGGGAGAGATATGGCGGCAAAGTAAAAAAATATAGAGCTGTTAGATTTATGCGCGAGGGATGCATTCTGTTTTTTTCCTGCTGATTCGTAGCGGGGGGTTACTGTATTAGGCAAAATAAAACAAAATGATATGAAACGAAATGCAAATTCTGTCATTTGTGAAAAGAACTCAAAATCTTTCATTTGCGAACTGGAAATCTGTAATTTGCAAGACTAGAAGTGTGGAGAACTTCAAGGTCACCAGCCGGAAGAATAAATCTGTCGGTTCATCACAAGTTTGGATTGCATATGCAACCTATTGTGCAATGTAAAGATAGTGCGCAACAAGCGGTAGAAACGGCCGAAACTTTAGTTTCTTGGGTTTTATCAAAACTTCCTAAATGCTTCATATCCCACGAATGCACAGCTGAAGTATCAACCAATTGTTTTATAACATTGTCAACGCATTATGTTGCATGTTGTTTTCTCACAATTTGGGAAAATTTCGAGAAATACAGCGCGCAGTTAGTCTCAAATAAGTCGTCTTTGAACAATCACAAGCTCTAATGAAACTAGATAAGTTCAAAAACCTATCCCCAAGCTAGAAAAAAATTTGACAGTTTTTTGTTATAATGTACTCAGAAACCAAAATTTTTAAAATAAAATTCGCAGTGCATACTTGGCAATCAGATTTCAAAGTCACTTCTTATATACGTCGGGTTTACCCAATGAACGTGAACTGAAAGGTAAGTCAAAAAAGACGTAAAAATATCAGAGAGAAACGCTTCATTCAAATAAATACCAAGTACGCTATGTATTGCCGAAAAGAATCATATTTCCTTGCGTATGTTCGACCCGCGTTAAAGATTCACATTTCTGGGATCGCTGTTTACTTGACTTCATGGCCAGAATATTGCGAAGCGTTGTGTTCAAAAGTTATCACATCTAAAACAAAATCTTCTTTTGCAGAATACTTCAGGTATGTTAACACTTATAAAAATATATCTAACGAGCAAAAGAATGCCCCAAAATAGCGAAGTCGACTGTTTTCAGCAAATTCAGTTTCGTTTTCCATCCATGATTCGGATCGTGTTTGGGAATCGTAGTATTGCTCACCCGAGAGCTCTTGCCATCGCTTTTAAGACTTAAAAGATCATCGCTTCCCAAACGAGTATCCTTCCACAGATTTACTTTTCAATAAGAGCTTTTAAAGGTCTATCTCAATCGGGATGGAAAGGATAAATTTCTTGAAAACCTCTCAGCCAAACTCGTCCGCAAGTTCGCATTCAATCGCTGAGGAAAATTTTCAATCTGGAGGCATATGTCTGCTGACGTCATTAGCGTGTACAATAGGATTATGAAGCACGCTTACGCTGTTGAATTTGGGAACTTGAATTTGTTAGCTATGTTATCAGTTCCTCTCTCCCACAAATACTTTTTCACTCTCCAACAATGAATTCAAGAAACTTTCGCTAATTATTCTTCATACCGATGAGATAGACTTCGCCTCTTTCTCGCGCCGTAATTTAGGCACCAGATCTCTGAACCAAGCAATATTGGGGCAAATGGATACCACTTGCAAATTAAACCTTTTTTAAATAGAATGTGAGCGTAAAACTGTGAACCATTTTCAAAATATAGATGGATAAGCTTCTAAAGATGCAGATCTGACTTGAAGAATGACTTTTTAAACTGATGTTTGGATAAGCCTTAATCTTTGTTTGTAAAAGTTTAAGACAATTTTTTTTGCTTTTTGTTTTTTTGTTTTTTTTGTTCTGTTACATAGCGGAAGCAGGAAATGATCAGCAGGGACAGATTATGAATGAAGAACACGCCAACAACGAAGAGGGTAATATATGGTGATTCCTTGTGTAATTACAAATTAAATGACTTCTCTCCAACTTGGTAGTGTTCAATGTATAATGATTTTCCTTTGTTTCTTCTTTTCCTTTTTATTCCCTTTTTTCTCACATTTTCTTCCCATAGGAGAGCAGATTGAAATGCAAGAAATAGAGCACAACGAAATCCCGGAAGTGGAAGCTCCTGAATCGCCTTTTCTGCAACCAGGTCAGTATTCCATCCGTATACTTATTTTCACTGAAACATCATTCCGCAATTAGCTAAGTGGGTAATCAAATGGGAAACCTCTGAAGCAAATTATTCGTCTCAGTACTCGTAGGTATTATATCGTGGGTATGAATGTACTTTTTTTTAAATGATTTTGGTAATATGTGATTGATTTCATAGTTTTCAACTCGCATGGCACGTGTATATATTTAAATTAAATCATCTACCACATGTTAGCACTCTTCCTGATTAAAATAAATAAATGGAAACATACCACTCTGCTCCTCTTCCGATAATTCTTTTTGTGCATTTTGAGAAAAGAAAAATAGAGGAAGGGCTTCCCGTTATGACATAAACGCCATGAATTTTAATGTAATCACGATAGGCTGATTACTGAAAGAAAAAACCTATAATAAAACTAACTCCTTTGGTCTTTCTTAAGTTACCTTCAACAATTCTGGAGACAGTTCTCCTTACGCACTTTCTGAACCTCACTTGGTTCCCATACGACAGAGCTCTAGTTAATGACTAATAAGTATTCACAATTATCATTCCATGATTTAAGTTTGCGGTTCTACTATGAGGTAAATAACTTAAACTTGAAAATAATTTTTTGGTCCATCGACAGCTATGGAACAAGCCTGTGGAGGAGATGAGACCCCATCTTCTTCCGGTAAAATGTCTTATTAATTGAAATAAAATTCCCCGCCTATTATTATGTTTTTATTATTTTTTTTTTATTTCAAAAATATTAAAACAAGTCATGCAGAACTGTTTTATTCACAAGAGTAGAACTGTAATCATTACAACTGTAAATTGTAACTTCGACTGCTGTTTAAAATTGTTCCTGAGAATCGCCAGATGCTGAGCAAGAAATGATGTGGTGGGAGTTAATGAAAGAAAGCATTGAGTCACATGAACTGTTTTTTGAAAAAGTGTGATTTCAAATACACGTTATCATGCGCATAAACTTACACATGTGAAATAATGTGAGCTGTATAACATAAGCATCATGGCATGGTTTACTCTACTTGTTCTTTTGAAACAGATTATGAGGATGATTTTGACATCCGACCAGCCACTGAAAAGACTGTCGAAGGTAAAGAACTTTTAAACAAACTATGTAAGTCTACCAAACAATAAATTAAGAGGAGCCTCGTACAACCCAAAGTGTTGGCTGGTTCCACAAAACTGGCTTGTGGTATATTTATTTATATATCCTTGTATGTTATACAAAAAAGATTCTATTTCGGTCTCTTGAATGAATTCATAGAAGAAGCTAGGTGGTCACCATCTCCTTTAAGGTCAAAAAAATCTTTCCTCACTAACTGAAAATAATGACTCTTGCAAACTTAAAAAGACAGAGTGGGGGAAATTGGACAAAATTAGACGTATTCATGCCCTACACGCAAGTGCACCAAACACCACCTGCCTCATGCCCGTTTAGGGTAGAAGACTCTTGCGCAATACCTAGTGAATATCTTTAATAGCTATTGATACAAGAGTTGAAAAATTTTCAACAAATGTCATTTGTTTTAATCATCTTATTACTTACTCATAATGCCATAATGTGCTTAGTTTCAAGTTTACAAGTATTCGATTACTAATTTTTTTCAAAATGTGTTTCTCCAGGTCAGAAAGGAGAGAAAAAGCGTGAGCCTGAACAGCCAATTGAAGAAGGTAAATTTCATACGGTTCAGTTTCTTTTTGCTTTAATTTTTTTTAACCTTTACAGCTAAATGAGCCAATTTGGTGGCTTCGACCATGGGCCGGGTTTATTATGAAGACCACTTATTATATTTGATAGGTATTATATATGCGTTAGCCTACACAGCAACACTGACAGTTACTATAATGCATTCTATACGTTTCCCTTAAAGTACTCATATCTCATTATAATTAACAACCTTGCTATCACACAGAATCTAAGGAGCAGGTGGAGAGTGAAGAGATTCCGATGCCAAGTGACGAAGGTAAAGGATATAGAGATTTTGATTGGTTACCCAAGGTGTTAACGCGCTAGATGAATTATTGAAGCATATCTTTTACCTTGGTAGTCCCTGGGAAAAAAGATAATGACTTCTTAAAATGCTCAAGTCAAAGCAAGATTGAACGACTGAAACTAATGTACATTTTATCAAATGCTTTATCTTCTTAAAAAGCTGAAAACGTCGAAGAAGAAGACAAGAAAGTGCTTGAGCCTGACATGGACACGGAAGAGGAAGGTAACATTCCTTATAATCAGATAACTTGGGTTTATCGACCGAGTTGATAATGTAAACTGACCCACGTGAAGAGTTTCAAAGCTGATGCCTCGAGCGTCAGCCCTACGTCAGAGCGAATGGAGGAATTTAGGTTGTGTGAGTGTTTATATGTGGAAAATGGAGATACGCTATAGGTGAGAACATGGTGACAAGGAATATTAGAGTGAATAAAAAGCGTTTGTTGATACTGTGGGGATCAAGAGTGCCGATTTGAAAGATAATTTTTTTGCTCTAGAGTTTTGCCCCCTTCTGAACTGCCTAGATATAGGGAAAGGCCGTAGACTGCCATGTGATTCCTAGAACGTTCAGGAAGATTAAAGTGTCTAGCAACTCGTTTGGATGCGTCTTTATACGTTGCAAAGGTGTTTTAGAAATTGGCCACCTAGTCACCGTTCTGTGTCATCAATGTATATCTTTTTGCAATAAGTGCAAGTTATGCTATATATGACGTTGGCGGAACTAGAAGCGCAACTTAACCTCTTCGTACCGTTATGGGACCTAGTTCTTAAACACTAATCAGCTTAGCCGAAACAGTGCTTATGCACACTTGCTTTTCATTCGGGGACAACTATTACAAAAAAAAAAGAATAGTTAACAATGAAACCAGTTAAAGCCAATATTTTCGTAGGTCTTATCGAACGCCAATTTTTCGGTTAATACAACGGCCTCAAACCTAAACTCTACGTCGCTACATTTGAAGTGTATATCGGTGCTACCGCAATTTATAACCGCGGTCAATTCCTTGTCTAAAATATACCTAGGAAATTTCCGACATTTCTTTGCCTTTTTAGAAATGAAAGTTTTAATTAAATGCGAAGGTTAATGTACTAGTGTGTACAACAAACCTACCGACTTATATAGTTACTTGTAATATTCACCTCCGCATCCATTACATGTTAAGAAGACCACTGCCCTTTCTCAGTTTGTTAGACTTCGTCTTTTATGTAGTTATGACTGTGATTTTTCCGACATATCAAAGGCAATGTGCCAATAGCTATTCTATTCTGTCGTTCAAGCCTGTCAGCACCACACGCGTCACAGAAGTAAATTACCGATTGCATTCAATTCACTCCCACATTTCACCCTTACAGCCATCAGTTAAATACATCATTCTTAAAAACTTAAAATTTCTTTAAAATGATTCAAAGACTGGTACTACTTTGGCGCAACCACCACCTATTTCATTCAAACGCAGCAAAAACAAACGATCCATCATGTTCAATGATCATTTCACGTGGAAGCAGAGAGACCACTGGGTGACCGATTCTGAGAACACCGTAGCGAAGTAGGAAGTAGAAGGACAAAGACGGAAAACTCTGAAACATTTTTTTTATTAATTTATTTCAAATCGGTATAAACGAAAGCTGTGGTTTGTGTGTATGTAAACACACACACAAACCACAATCTCCCCATTCCCTCTGACGAAGGGCTAATGCTTGAAACGTCAGCCTTGAAACTCTTTCCGGTGGCCAATTTATATTATTAAATCAGGTAATGAAACCAAATTATGTATATTTCTCGCCGAAAAAGCACCACAGTTTTTTTTTAATTACCCCCTCAACTCATTCCTTATAATTAGCCAACATCGACTCAGAGTGGTCATAAGGTGACGCAAAATCAGTCCAACGTATTCCCTGAAGAAAGCGAAACGCTAAGGAGTGACTGAATTAAGAAATGAAAGAGAACACTTAAGTTTTATTACACTTCGTAACATCGAGGAGCCAAAATCTGTCTGACATCTGTGGAGACGCTTTACAAATATTTTTGTAAAACATAGCTGCCGTGTGGTATATGTCATTAAATAAAAATAATGATCGAAATATCGTGTACCACAATTTTCCAATTACTCTAACACAGAAAAGCTAGAGTTGTATTAGTAAAAACAGATTCAGATTATAGTAGCTTAATTGTCATCTTTTTTCGTTTTCCATCCAGGGGAAGATGAGGAGTTTGATCTTTTATGTCCTCTACTTTAGTTCTCTATTTTCGTTCCAAGGTAAATATTTATCATATATCCCTCAGCAATTCTGAATACTAATGACTGAAAGCTTGCGGAAAACAAAGCTTGAAAAAGAAATTGTCTTTTGATTGAGTTCTTATCAAACTTTTGGAATTAGTCTCATACTTGAGAAGTAGTGTAAAAATCTCTGACTTTTGTTTCTGATGCCTTGCCGTTCATATGCTGGGAAAACTGACTCCTGATTGCTTGAACCCTCAGGTTCTTGTACCTCGCTAAAACCTGAATCAACTGATTTTCTTTCCCACTCCAACAATGTAACACTTCCTTACATTCTTTAAGCCTGTGGTGACTGAAAAAAAAAGGAAAACTGCATCTGCAGTGATTTAAGCTGCTTCTGGCGTAAAAGAAAACAATGTGATTCGTAATAATTATAATCTCAGCCTGCTGCTTGTGGTTTTGCAAACCAAAACGGTTTTATCCTGATTCTGGTGATTGCTTGAACTATCAGGTTCTTATGCCTCGCTATGACCTGAATCAACTGATTTTCCTTCCCACTCAAACAATGTAACACTTCCTTATATTCTTTAAGCCTGTGGTGACTAAAATAAAAAGAAAAACTGCATCTGCAAGGATTTAAGCTGCTGCTGGCGTGGAAGAAAGCAGTGTGATTCGTAATAGTTATAATCTACTGCTTGTGGTTTTGTAAACGGAAACGATTTTATCCTGATTTTGGTGATGTACGATAAGTAAAAATATGAGCATACCTGCCTGCTGACCTAACCTTACCACCCAAGTTACTGATTAATAAGATGAGTTAGTGTAATCACCTTAGTTGATAATGTAAATTGTTCTCCGTTAGAGTTTCTAATTAACAATCTGGTTGATGGGCCAACTGGTCAATTGACTAGTAAGCCGTCAGATTACATCAACTGTTTGAGCTGGCTGAAAGACGGTCTCATAATCTGCCTGACTGTCTGCCAAACTGGATGATTGTCTGTCTGCTTTATTGTCTGCCAGACTGTCTGCTGGACTGTTTTTCTGACTGTCTGCCTGAACCTGTACACAACTGTCTGCCTGAATGTCTATCTGATTTTCTGCCTAACCTTTTGACGGACTGTCTGCCTGACTGTTTGCCTGACTCTCTTTTATACTGTCTCTCAGACTGCCAGTAAGACTATCTGTCTGACTATCTGCTTAACCAGCGGGCATGGAGTGATTTATTTTCAAGCTGCCTGTGGATCAGACTGCCAAAGCCAAATGAGCGACTAACTTTCTGGTTGGTTGTTCTTCATGCATTGATAAATTTGTTTTTTTTCTCTTTCCATTAGTAAAAGAGACCTTCATGGTTGGAGAAAAGAACAGAAGGATTTAAGTGATAGAAAAAGCAATTCTAGTAATAATTATGTGGTAATTAGAAAAATTATGTCCATCTACTGATCCTTTTTATTGAAGTTATTTGCTATCATTAGTAGTATACATGATTTACTTTGAGGGAGAAGCAATTCCTCAGTGGTTTTAGATATGAATTTTAGCTGATTTTCATTGTAATGTTTTCGGCTTCATTAGGCTTACTCGTAGTTTAGAGGGAATTTAAAGTTTTAAAGTCCATGAATAGCTTCCATTTAGAGTACCTTCTACCTCAGTTTCTTTTTCCTAAAACTGTAATTTAAAAAAAAGACATATATCATAACCAAAGCAAATGTTTAGCATTTAGATTATGTTTGGAAGTTACGTTTCTTAGTATCTCTATTTTAGGAAACAAGCAAACAATAAAAAAATAAAATTTAGAATCATTTAGAGGCACAGACGTCAATTATTGGATATTAAGTAGTATATTGACGATCTTATGGTTCGTTTTTAGTATTCTGATAGTCTTATTTACGAGTATTTCTAACTGAAATCGCTTTCAGCTTGCTTCATTTATGAAATATCCTTAATTTAGAGAAGAACAAAGAAGTTTGGAGGTGTACTGATTTTAAAAAAGACTAACGGGCTTAAATAATAATTAGCAGAGATTTGGCAGTAAAACATAAATTTAAATAAGTCATTTCTAGGTTCTTGACTAATTCTGGGAGAGTGTTTCATTTTGAGTCTAAAAAAAACCAAAGCACTTAGTATTCGACGATAAAACTTAGACAGTTGTGTGGTTCAAGATTTCCAATGGCAGATAATTATTAGCATCCTGACAATCTCATTTCTTATAGTTTTTTTTTTTTTTTTTGAACTTTTTCCGAGCAATTAGTTAATAGGAGTTACGGTTAATGTTATTTAGGGCTGGAGATTATATCAAGGAACTTAAAAAAATCACGGTCTGGACTTTAGCTACGGGGGATTCGGCAGTATAATAACAACAATCAAAATAGCCTAATTCCACAGCACCTTTGGCGAGTTATCAGGGTAAATTTCGAATTTTTCTTTTTTTTCAACAGTATCTCTAGTTGCAAGAGAAATTAATACAAAAGGGACAAAAAGAAGAACAATTTACTGAATAAGACGTCACTAATCAATGTTTCAGTTAGCAGTTTATTAAGTTATCTAAGTAGCTCATTTCTAGAATTTTCATAACTCGTTTTCGAGCATTATAGTAACTAATATGAGGTAAAGTGACGTCTATTCTCGCTATGTTAGGACGTTTGTCATGAGTATAGATTTATCAGATAACTTAGAAAAAAGTTTGGGTACGCAAACAAGCTTTAAGATATGTAGTGGGAAAAAAAATAAACAGGGTAAGACATCGCTTATTAGACGTTTTGTAGTGCATCGATGATCTAAATAGCCCATTTATTAGAATTTTCATAACTCATTTGCGAGCATTATAATCATTAAGACTTAAAAAGACGTTCGGAGATATTACACTTATACAATCGATATTTCACTCCAAAAAAAATTAATAATAATAAAAAAGGTCTAAGAATATCACTAAATTAGATATTTGGTAGTGTGTTTAAGCCTAAATTGTAGTTAATTTTTAGAATTGTTTAACTCATTTTGAGAATTCTAGTTCATTGTAGTACGTGATATTCAAATTATTTCATAGCCTGGTTTAAATGTGATCATCAAACAAGGTTTTTACAGTAAAGAGGGAAATGGCACGGAGTAAGAACTTTTTCCAAGTTAAGGGGTTAACAATAAGGGGATCATGTTTACTGTAAATCAGAGCTTTCAATAAAACACCTTTTAGACCTTATCTTGAGTCTGATATATAAAAGAAAAAAAACAAACAAACAAAAAACCAACAATAAAAGTTTTTAAGTCTCGTTATTGATGCGTTACAAGATTACAGTGGTCTTCAAGTGAGAAGGTACGTAGACGGCCCTGAATTTCAAATCAAGCTTTACTTATGATATACTTTTGAATTGACTGGCTAAAATTTATCGAAAAAATGTTGTCCCTTTACGGCTCTTTTCAGGCGAGCGAAGGCGAGTGCACGGGAGTGTCTTGCTACTCACGTGAAACCAGAACAATGGGATTGTTGGAACTAGGCTGTTGGATATGCATAATTAAGAAATCAAGAAAAACTACACTTATTTTGTCTACAATCGAAAACTTTAGTCCAATTGACAAGATGATTCCAACGGTGTTCCACGTCAGCAGCTGTAATGAATTTGCCTAAAAGAGCCATGAGCCACATGGATGTTCCCGGTCAGTGATCAATGCAGTGAATGTAGGATCACATGAGATGTAAAAACTTCATTACAACCTGATCCATTTACTATTTTAACTCCTGAAAGTACAGTTTGTTATTCCATCAGCTTATTAGTTTCTCTTGGTTCCATGAAATCAAAGGAAAGGTCACCCTATGAAGCATTTTATTGCACGGTTCAAAAGCAAAGGCCTTTAATTGATCGAATCGTAACACTAGTACTTCTGTAAAAGGGATCAACAGTCAATCTATCTCGACTAATATTATTACATTGTTAGGCAAACTACTGAACCTAAACTACTGATGGCTGGATGTCCAAAATCTTGGAGAAACACATGTAAATAGAGTGGTAAGAATTTCAATTTGAGCATCTGATTTACATAACATTTCACGAGAAAAACATAAACTTTACCAAGAAAGGAAAATCGCTGGTTAGTTTTTGAAACTTACATTTGAAAAATGACAACTGGCACCGTTGGGGACGGTTATCACATGAAATAGTATGAAATTGATTTTCCTCAGCGTTGCCGCCCTGCTTGCTTAAGATCCCTAAGGTCTGTAAAGAATCCACAAGTGATCTAGCAGTGACAAAGGCGCAGAGACGAAAAAATATTCAATGAGCAAAGTAATGGGTCTGCTCTTGGGTTTCAGACAACCTTTTGCCGTCCTTAGCTAACCACAGCGTGAGATTGCTAAAATTTGTTTTCTCTAAGAAGGAGAATCTCGCAAATCATTCGCACCATTCAACGTTGCATTGACATATAATAGTTAAATGGAAATCCTCTGACTTTAGCAAAAGTGAGCACATCAACTTTGTCGAAAAATTCGCGGAAGAAATGAAAGTTTACTTTTGATTTTGATTTGCCCAGCCATCCGCATTGCGTCTTGCGTGATACCTTTACCTCCGTGATGCAAAAGGAATTCTTTTAAGAATCGGTAAAACCATGAAGGGGCCCTTTGAGTTTAAGGTCTTGACATCAAATCATCGGTTGAATATAGAGTTAAATCGTTTAAGGAAAATAGTCATCTCATCATCGCAGTAGTGCATTACATTTTCATAATCTCACGTAAATTATGCCTTGTACGATTTCAAAACTAAATCTTCTATTAAGAAACACTTCTGGGACACATCAACACTTCAAAATAATATCTACCATGTTAAAGGAGAGTCCCCAACATCGCAAAACCTCATTTGAAGGCAGAAAACAACCAAAACTCCCGTCGCGTTTGGGACATTTGAAGGTTTTTCAACTCACAAAGATAGTTTCGTCGTTTAAAAGAACTGCAAGCTCATTTTGTTTCGAAAGGAATATCATTTGGTAAAATTTTTCTTTTCTTTTTGAAGTCTATCTCAATTGGAATAGAACGGAGAAAAGATCTCGCGGCTTTACTCGACGGGAACTTTCTGCCGGCGTGAAACTGCATACGTAATGCTATGGTTGCACGGCTATGTGGTAATCACGAGGAATTTTACCATGCTAGCTCCTCTGGAAAAAAGGTAAGCCTTGCGCGCGCTACGTTTAACAAATAGAGAAGCCTTGCCTGTGCTCTGTTCTGCTGCAAAGCACGCAGGAAGAAAGAAGCGTAAGGAGAAATACGAGATGTAGTCGACTGTTTCTCTCCACCACTTGAGTGCACTAGCCGCTTCCTATGTGCTTTACAACATACAGAGTAGGGCACAGTCATTCTCTATTTGTTTTTTATAACAAAGAATAAGTCAGACTCCCCTTACATTATTTTTTAATTTTAAAACAAAAAAACAGTTTTGACAGCTCTATATTCTCATAAACAAGCTACAATAAGCCAATCAGAATCCTTTTAGAATGTTTCAAATAATCAGATTGATTGAACAAAACTAAAGCTGTCAAAAATGCCAAACCATTAAAATTCACAATCTGCAGTAGTTTACAAACTGAAATAGTAAGACAGGTCAAACTTAATACGTTTGCCAGAAGTTTTTTAGCTCACGCGAAATTTTTCACATGAAAATTAGTGAAGAAACTGCTCAAAGCCGTGTGTTTTATGAATGAGTGACGACCGAATACAGAAGAACATAGCGATTACTCGAAATTAAAGCACCGTAAAACTCGGTTGTTGCGACTGAAGTGGTCTTCCATTCGACGCATCGGAAAGGATATCAGAGCAAACTTTTAGTTGTTACTAGAAGGGCGGCCGATGCAATTTCCTAGGCTTTCTTCACTGCGATGACCGGGGATTGCCATGATGATCTAGCCGCGATGGAACTCAGCATATTGGCGGTCCTTCTGACACCGCTATGATTAATTTGTGTTTCATTTTCATTACCATATGTAAACTTGCAAACTAACTGAGCGTGAAAACTTGTTCCGAAATTTCAGAAACAAAAAAGCTTGAGAGAAGTCCGGGAAATGGTCAAACATGGTACAATTTGGCAGGAGGGATAATAACATCAGGCTGATCAGTTGCAATTTTCGCCGCCTAATATCTTAAATTTTTATTTCTTAATACTAAACGATTGACTCTGAGATTTAGAGATTTGGAACGTACGCGTGAGCCTGGAGCTAATCCAAATTAATGAAACGCTAGTTCATTAAACGAAATACAGCGAACGAATTCGATGTTTTTTCTTTTTTTATTTACTAATTTAGTGAATATGAGACGAGCAAGTCAGTACAAAAGGGTAATTTAGTGTTATCAACTAAATCGATAACGTAAATTCGCCACCGTAATGAGTTTAAAAGCTGACGCTATGAGCGTTAGCCCTCCATGAGAGCGGTTGGAA